GAATCAAACCCACTCGGGCCTGGGATTATAGCCGAGGTGGCGCAGTGGTTAAATGCAGCACTGCAGGCTACTTCAGCTGACTGCAGTTCTGCAGTTCGGCTGTTCAAATCTCACTGGCTCAGGGTTGACTGAGGTCCATCCTTGCGAGGTGGGTAAAATGAAGACCCGGATTGTTGTTGGGGGCAATATGCTGACTCTGTAAACCACTTAGAGAGGGCTGAAAGCCCTATGAAGCAGTATATGTCTAACTGCTATTGCTATTGCTATAACCATTCTTCCTCTATTTCTTTTCCACTTCATACTTGTAATCTTCCATTGAGGTCTAGATTTTGCATCTGCATCTCAAACATAGCCAGTCCAGAAAGGAAAAAACCCAAAATCTTGGCAGCAGAAGTTACACCAATACTCTACACTCACATCCTGAACTTCCTGCCATATCACTACTCTCGTGCTATCTTTCATTACTTTTTGGTGGCTCCTTCTTTTCCACTCTTCCCATGCTAGGAGTAACATACAATCATTTCCTTTGTATGCAGTAACCCTTGTTTTTCTAAGCCAAAGTCCCATGATACCTCGGTTCAAATTCCCGAAGATAGCCCCAAACTAAACCAAACAACACAACTAGGAATTGAATCCTTCTGATGATTCAGGAACAATAGTCACTATAAACAGCAGACAGGCACTGAGCAGCTAGAGGTTGATATAGAACTTATAGTCCCTCCTACTCCAAATCCATTGTGTTCTTTTCCCACATCTCCCTCTCTTTAATGAAGTCTTTGCCTTCCTGTTCTCATGCTCACTTTGTTAATGGATGTGGCATGTTTATATTCTCTACATTCCTGCTCCAAGTCTCTCCTGCCCTAAGAAAATCCTGACACCATCTCATAATCCCTTTGCCCTAATTACGTGGCAGCTTTCCCCTTATTCTCATCCCCTTTTTCCCTTGCTGTGTGAGCAAATGCAGAGGAAATGGGGCACTACTTTTTTTTTAATTGGCCAGCTCCTTATCCACTCCTTCAGATCAGCAATGAGGATACTTCTGCAATTATCTGAAACTGCTGCAGAAGGTGGAAGCTGATAGCTGCAAAGAAGCGCTCTTTATTGAGAAACACAAAACGACAAAAATTTCAGTTACGAATATTCTTTGACTTACAGCATTCATGCCTTGGCCATAAAAGGGTACAACAGCATGTGCAGAATCTCCCATTAGCACGCATTGAGAGCCAATGTGATACGATGAACATTTCACAGAGACCATTGCCTGAGCTGGTAGCACAAAGTAATCTTGCATCAGTTCGTGCCTGAAATTTCAAAGTGCTGTATCACTGATTAAATGCTAAGTAAACATTAACATTTGATAACTGATTGGAATATGGCTATTTTGAAAGTTGCAAGGAGAATGGGAAGTGGGGTTTTGGCATAACCATTTCTTAGATATCCAACAAGTAGCAATGTATACATAAGTTCAGAACTTCAAAGAAAAATTAAAGATCACAAATACATACATACATGCTTACATACATATTGTATATTTCAAATGAAAAAAATTATATTATAATTTATAATAAATAATAATATTATATTATTCAGATGTATGACTGAGCTCCTAAGGATTTTCTGTATTGTCTTAAACTATTCTTATTGTTTATCTGCATTACCATATAACATTGAAAAAACACCACTAATTAATTATTAATTATTTAATTTATTAATTATTATTAAGTCCTAATATAAAGCAAAAATTCAACAAAATATACAAGTTAGAGTTGAAGGACAACTGGACTTGGTAGGTGGTTGTTTTGATCTTTACTTGCTTTTTAAATATTCAAACAGACTTTTGTTTTATTTTTCTGACCATCCTGAATTGCAGGACAATTTACAGAAAACCCAACTCAGAATCTTTTTTTTAGAGTGAAGACTAAAGTAATAAGTGGAAATTAATGCTCAATGGTAAGCATTGCACAAAGAACAGTATCAATGGCTTTCATGTTTATCATAATCTCTCCAAGAGCTTGCTCTGTCATGTGCAGTAGCACTGATGCTTAGATGCTTTTATTCTTAGATTAGGACTTGTTTTGTTTTGATTTGATTTATAGTAGACAGATTGAAACTTACTCTCCTATTAGAGGAATTGAGTCTGGAAAATAAGTTTTGAAGAAATTCAGCACTTGCTCTCCTGTGGCAAGCTTTTCAAAATCATCAAAGGGCATGAAGAGTGTACAGGTGAATGATTTATCCTATGGATTAAAATGGTTAAATTACATGAAAACTTGAAAAGAATTTTGATTCAGTCCAATCCTAAAACTAAGTTCCTTGCAAAATAAAGAACACACACACACACACACACACACACACACAGGCACACACATTCAGTTTTGTCACTTATTTGAATACACACACACATACATATATACATATATTCAGGAGTGGGTTCCGGCCACCATTATTACCGTTTTGGTTGTAAAAATTTTTGCTTTAATGGCAGATTGGCAATGAGCTGAAGGTAATCTCTTAGGGACATAGGAAAATGTTGCTGCCAGGGCATGTTAGCACTATGATTAAATGCAAGTGGAGAGATACCCACAAATTTTTATGTGTCATCTTGGTGAACCTGCAGATCATTAAATGGATGAGATGTTAATCATATTTCAAGGATTTAGAGTCTATTGGTTTAGAAATGGAACAGGCATTCAAAAATGAAATATTTATTTATTGACCGAGTGGCTATTGATGCTCCCTCCCAAGGATGGTCCAGCTATTCCATCTCTCAGCCTGGGGGGTGAAATTATACGCCCCTCAGAGAGGGCTCGCAATTTGGGAGTCCCCCTGGATCCGCAGCTGTCTCTAGAACATCATCTGTTGGCTGTGACCAGGGGGGCCTTTGCCCAGGTTTGCCTGGTGCACCAATTGCGACCCTATCTGGACCAGGAGGCCCTTCGGATAGTCACTCACGCCCTCGTCACCTCAAGACTGGATTACTGTAACACGCTCTACATGGGGCTGCCCTTGAAGAGTGTTCGAAGACTTTAGCTAGTCCAGAATGCAGCTGCGCGAGCGATTGTGGGTGCACCTCGGTACACCCACTTTACACCTATCCTCCGCGAGCTGCACTGGCTTCCCATTGGTCTCCGGACATGCTTCAAGGTGCTAGTTGTTACTTTTAAAGCCCTACATGGTATCGGACCTGGTTACCTGAGAGACCGCCTCCTGCCAGTCACCTCCCAAAGACCTATTAGATCCCACAGACTAGGCCTCCTCCGGATTCCATCTGCCGGCCAATGTCGGCTGGCGACTCCCCGGGGAGGGCCTTCTCTTTGGTGCTCTGGCCCTATGGAACGATCTCCCCGTTGAGATCCGGACCCTTACTACCCTTCCGGCCTTCCGCAAAGCAACTAAGACCTGGCTGTTCCGGCAGGCTTGGGGCTGTTGAATTATCCAGCCCCATCCGATGTTATGACTGTTGCTGAATTTTTAATTGTTGTTTTTATTTTTGTACCCCCTTCCCTTTCTTATTGTTAGCCACCCTGAGTCTCTCGGGAGTAGGGCGGCATACAAGCCAAATAAACCTAACCTAACCTAACCTAACCTGCTTGCCCATTTTTGAACAGCAACTATCAGCAAACGAGTGCCTATGGTGTAAAAGAAAATGACATTTTAAAATACCAGCTCCAAAACCGTCTGTTAGAAACTAAGAGTGTACAAAATATTGATACCATCTGAGCCACAGGCAGAGATAAAGGATGGACTAGGTCAATCTAATCTATCAAGTCTGTGAAGAAAAACAAGTTGAGCAATGACATAATCCCTAATCCAATCAGTTGAAAATAAAGCCAGAAAAGATAAGGGTCAACAAAGAGAAATCTGATCTTTTCTAACCTCTGAACCACATATCTTCTACTCTGAATTACCAAAGGGTGACTTATGTTTGTTTTATTGATTTTTCAGGCAGCTCTCTAGTGATATACTGTATAATATAGCAGGAGAACATCTAAAGTCAGGAAAGAAAATAAATCTTTAGAACAGCTTCATTACTAAATCATGCCTGTTCAACCTGGATGGAATAGCAAAAGCTCTTTTTCAATAGCAAAGTTGGTTTTGGCTGTCATTTTTTCTTTTTTTAAAAAGGCTATTTTTTGGAAGGAAGAATGGGACACAATAGGTAGTAATGGCTGATATTTAACTCTATCTGTTACACTCTTCCTTCACTACAAAAAAGGACCATTCAAACCTTGTTCTTTTCTAGAATATGCTGTACTGCAACATAGAGAAAATAGAAACTTCTGAACTCTTGTATAATAATCAAGCTTTTAAAATAACAATTCTGATGATTGAAGTTAATTTCATATCTTAGTACAGCATGCAGGTGATGCTTCTTTTCCTCCACTTTGTGACTCCTCCGAAAGTCACCCTTCAGGCTGTAATGAACTATGCTGGCAATGCTTTCATATAAGAGTAAATTATGAATGAGTAAATCCACTCAGGCAGTTCAGTAGTTGGAGGAGTCAGAAATTACCTGCCAATAGCAATAAGAGAGGATATAAGAATGGGAATGAACTACATGAACCATGAATGGAGTGTAGAAATGGAATTTGTATCAGTAAAAATTTAGACATGCAATTCCAGGCATGCAGTCCATAATAATGTATGCTTCCAGGAAGTCAACATTGACTGAAACTGATTGCCAGACCAAATCCAAATTCCAGAATGTCAAAGATGAAAGATGCATTTAGGGTTTCTTACCAGGTTTGGCAGTGCAATCATCATGAATGTGTTCCTAGGCCAAATGTGAAGATAGTTTGGCTCCATTGCAAACTAAAAGACCCAAAAAAGTAATGGAAAGATATCTGTCAATGCCAAAGTGTCTCATGAACTGGGAACAGGAGAAACAAGTTCACGGTTAATTTTAACTACCTACATCTCCATTTTTGGGAGGAATTTTCAGTTCCAGGTATCCATGTGGAATATATACTTGGCTGTAATCAAACCGTGTTTGTCTCATAAACTGCTTCCTAACTGTGGAAAAGGCTCCATCACAGCCCACAATTAAGTCACAGGTGACTTCTTTAGTCATTTGGTCTGATCTTTAAGAAAACACAAAAAGTACCATTAGTATGCGTGCTCAGGTATTAATAAATATTGTGGTATATTGTGTGATGATTGAACATGACTTCTGTTTGCTTAAATGTCCCTTGTAACACTAAGTTTAAAAAATGTACTTTTTCTCCTATTTGACTCCTTCAGATTTGAGGGAAAGGAAGTAAGTGAAGCTATTTCTGAAATAAGAATGTTGACATCCAAAAGTAACTCTAAAAAAAAATCAAAAATCCTGCCTTTTAAAATTTATATTTTAATGTAACAAATGATACTCTACCTGTCATTAGATTTTATTGTCAATAAAATCAGGTTTTAAAAATCAGGTATAAATTTCTGAGTCCTATATTCCAATTCCTATATTATTCATAATGGTTTGTGTGTGAGATGATCTTTTCAAATTCCCATTCAAATATGTTTCCATACATTTCATCTTGTATTTTTATTACAAGAAGAGACTAAATAAATGCATAAAATTGGTGCTTTACATTAGGGTTTATTTATTGAAAAAACTCGTAATCTCCTGAAAATATAAATCATTGCTCAAGTAAATAATAATAATCCTGAATTCAGCAGAAGCCCCTCCATCCAAGAGGTTATATTGCCAGGAGTTGATGAAGTGCAGCCTTCTGGTTGTTGATTAAACATTTTGTTATGTTTGTTAATTTAGGTTAAATTGTTAATTTTTGCTAACTTGGGGGTAGGGAACCTAACAATTTTTCAATTCACACAAATACAGGTCCCACAACAGTTGGAAAGAGTCAGTGTGGCCTATTGTTTGGGTACTGGTTAATGATTAGAGTGTGCTGGGAAAATCGGAGCCATTTGATTACCCTGAAAAGGTCAGTAGCCCTGAGTCTACATTGCAGTGAAGCAGTTTGTGCTCAAAGTATAACTTAACATTGGGATACTTCTCAGCAGCTGTAAATAGAGGAAAAAGAAACAACATGAAATCTAAACATATATATATGTATTTAGTCAGCTACCAATTGTGCAAGTTCTCCCACTTAAAAAGATGAGAGAGGCCTGTAATTGACAGGTAGATCTCAACTATGAGAGACAAAATGAGAAAACAAATCCAGACAATCACATTGTCTGATT